GGACCGGCCCCAGAGCCCTATTTCTCCACATCCTCAACAAAATAGTTCCTCTGAAGAGTGTGGCTGTCTGTGTCCAGGTCACCAGCTGCCTCCCTAACAGATGGCAACGTGGTCCAATCAGAACCAACTCTGGGTAATTCCAGTTGACTCGGGGTGTGGAGAGGGATCCCGGTCCAGCCCCACAGCTGACAGAAGCACCTGATGTCTTTTCTTTCAAACCTTTCACCCCAAAAATACAAAGGCCATAGTAAGCACAATGGTTTTCTCTAACAGGGGAGATTAAACCTGCCAAGCTGCTGGAATGACAGCCATGGAATAACAGCCGTGAAAAGACAGCCTCTTCCACAAACACTGCTCAGGGAGCTCGAGTGTGTGGGGACCTTCGAGTTCTCTCGGCTGCGGGGAGAACCAAATGCTCCTGTCCACAATCAGATCACAAGGCTCCACGTGAGTTAACCCACAGACAGCTCACAAGGTCATGGCTTCCACACACAAGTCCTTTCACGCTCACATGTGATCCAGGACGCCTAAGACAGTCCAGGAGGGGATGGTTCCACTTCCCCACCTTTGTGGAGAGGGGGAAGGGGACACCAGGAGGTGACACCAGCCTCCACCCTCTCTGCTGCCAGCTCCTACTTTATCCTCAGAGAGGAGCTCCTACGGGCTGAGAACAGCTGCTCTCAGGTCATAGGAAGAGAAACTTTGGGTCCTGGCAAAGGCGGGCTGAGCCCAGTCCAGGGAGCTGTGGAGGAGCCCCCACTCTTAGAGCTGGTGCCACCCACGCCCCTTCCCAAGCAGGAAGGAGGCTTCCAAGGCACGGATGGTGCTGGAGCCTGCAGAGACCGTCCGTCGTCTCCCAACTGGAGCTGTTCTGTGGTTCCAAAATGTCATAAAAATCCCAATATGTCAAGTTCCACCCTTACCAAACTCAAGTACAAACATTCACAAAACCCACAAACTTTATTCTAGCTACAGAGCTTTATTCTTGCAGAACCTTTCAGGGTTGTGTGTGGGACAGTTGGTCGGTGCACCTGGGCTGCTCCTTTACCAGCTTCTGAACTAGGAGGTACAAATCTGCCACATCAGACCTTCATCAACAACTTGGCAACCTCACTGGCCTCCCGCTCAGATGAGGGGGGTAGACCGGAGTCTGGGGAGGCTGAGGATAGTTAACCCATAACATAACTGCACACAACGAATACACACATTTTAATGCTTGGGAAGTAAACTTCAATGGACACTCTTTCTTGGAAGCTGCTGACTTAGAATGGGTTTCAACTTTTTCATGAAAAAATCGCTCTTAAAAGCTAAAAGGCCCAGGGTCAGCATGAGCCAAGGGGGGGACACACAGAGGGGACAGGGCAGGCAGCCCCTGACGAGGGGCCAGGCATCCAAGCGACTGTGTTGAACACTCCAAATGAGCACAGTAACCGCCTGACATTTTTCTTTTTTAGAAAAGGGCTTTTTCGGGGCCGGCCCGGTGGCGCACTGGATAAGTGCGCCGCTTGGGAAGCGTGGCGGCGTTCCCGCCCGAGGGTTCGGATCCCACATACAGACCGGTTCCCGCTCACTGGCTGAGCGAGGCGCGGGAGCGACACCGAGGGTTGC